TGTTGACCAGGATGGTCTCGATCTCTTGACCTCGTGATCCACCCGCCTCGGCCTCCCAAAGTGCTGGGATTACAGGCTTGAGCCACCGCGCCCGGCCTATTATATTGGTTTTAATTGAGCCCTTTGCTCTTTCTTGAGTGTTTTTTTTTTTAATTTTTTTTATTTTTTTGTAACATATTATCTCTGTCCAACTTGTTAAAAACTTGGTGCCAGAGTTTGAATATAAATTCCTAGTGGAATCAGGCTGTCATAATTTATTTTGTCACAAAAATGCTCATTTTATGATGACACTACTGAAATTATTTTTGAAGGGAGCAGTATGCAGAAGGGAAGATGAGAGGGGCTGCCCCAGGAAAGAAGACATCTGGTCTGCAACAGAAAAATGTTGAAGTGTAAGAAGCTCTTTGTTTTGATTTTGCACGCTATATGTGAAGATAACATTTGATACTTATTATGTGTTAGACTGTGTTGAAAATGGAAACACTGGAACATTATTGGAACCAGTGAGAATCTCATTCCTCAGTTATCAGGTCATTAAAGTCATTTAAAATACATATTCCTTAATTTTCCTCAGCAAGTTCCCCCACCCTTTAAGTTGTATGTATAATCATATGTGTATATAATGTTTTCTTTTACAAAGGTAGTCTTAGTGGCTATAAGTTTTAAGATAATTTTTTGGCAAGCCTTTTTCTTTTTTCCAACTATAAAATTTAAATACAATAGGAATATGGCAAGCCTTTTCAAACCTAAAAAGTAAGTGCTGGTAAGCGCTAAAAATATGTATGAATTAATCCCCACTTTGGTGAAACCCATGGTAAAAATATATGAGAAGTTAAGGTTTTAAACAACTCCCCTCCCGGTCCCCACCTTCAAGAAAACCATTACTTTTTTTTTTTCTTTTATGAGATGGAGTCTGAGTCTGTCACCCAGGCTGGAGTACAGTGGTGAGATCTTGGCTCACTGCAACCCTTTGCCTCCCACATTCAAGCAGTTCTCTGCCTCAGCCTTTAGAAGAGCTGGGATTACAGGTGTCCGCCACAATGCCTGGCTTTTTTTTTTTTTTTTTTTTTTTATGGTCTTGCTCTCCCTCCCGGCTGGTGTGCAGTGGTACAATCTCGGCTCATTGCAGCCTCCACCTCTCGGGTTCAAGTGATCCTCCTGCCTCAGCCTCCTGAGTAGTAGCTTGGATTACAAGTGCGTGCCAGCATGCCCTGCTAATTTTTGTATTTTTAGTAGAGATGGGGTTTTACCATGTTGGCCAGGATGGTCTCGATCTCTTGACCTCGTGATCTGTGCCCTCCTTGGTCTCCCAAAGTGTTGGGATTACAGGCGTGAACCACCACGACCAGCCATTTTTTTGTATTTTTAGTAGAGACAGGGTTTCACCATGCTGGTCTTGAACTTTTTTTTTTTGAGATGGAGTTTTGGTTTTGTTACCCAGACTGGAGTGCAATGGCATGATCTTGGCTCACTGCAACCTCTGCCTTTTGGGTTCAAGTGATTCTCCTGCCTCAGCTTCCCGAGTAGCTGGGATTACAGGTATGCACCACCATGCCTGGCTAATTTTTGTATTTTTAGTAGAGATGGGGTTTAATTATGTTGGTCAGGCTGGTCTTGAACTCCTGACCTCAGATGATCCACCCACCTTGATCTCCCAAAGTGCTGGGATTACAGGTGTGAACCAGTGCTTCCAGCCCAAAACATTGCTTCTTAAGTCTGGATTTTAGAACATCTTGGTACCAAGCTTAGAGTGAGAATATTTAAAGTTTATGTAGGCCTGTGTGGTTGCTTACAACATGTAATTCCTCTCCTTTGGGAGGCTGAGGTAGGAGGGTAGCTTGAGCCCAGGAGTTTGAGACTGACTTGGGCAACATTGGGAGACCCCAGTTCTAGAAAAAAAATAAGCTGGGGTGGGGAGGAGTGGGGTGGCACATGCTTGTAGTCCCACCTATTCAGGAGGCCAAGGTGGGAGGATCACCTGAGCCCTGGAGGTCAAGGCTGCACTTCAGTCTTGGTGATAGAGTGAGAACCTGTCTCAAAAACAAAAAAATTTATGTATCTGAAAGTGGATGACGAATGGTAACTTAATAAGTATTCTTAAGTGTTTGTAATATAAAAATAAAAACAAGACAGGTGGCTAAGGCCTATAATCCCAACACTTTGGGAGGCTGCGGTGGGTGGATTGCCTGGGGTCAAGGCTTCGAGACCAGCCTGACCAATATAGTGAAAAAATTAGTTGGACATGGTGGTGGACGTCTGTAATTCCAACTACTAGGGATGCAGAGGCAGGAAAATCGCTTGAACTCTGGAGGCGGAGGTTGCAGTGAGCCGAGATAGCTCCATTTCACTGCAGACTGGGCAACAAGAATGAAACTCTGTCTCAAACAGAAAAACCAAAGATTATGACTTTTATAAGAGGTCATTTTATTTCTTGCCAGACTTAATGATCTGACTTTTCTACTTAAAATGCCCAGTGTTTTAGGAGGTGAGGTGGGATTGATAGCTTGAGGTCAAGAGTTCTAGACTGCAGTGATCTGTGATTGTACCACTTGCCCTCTAGCCTCTGAAAAAAATGTAAGGTTTTGCAAATGAAGGTATTTAAATACATTTGGAGATGGTTATTTTTTATTTTTTATTTTTTTAACTTTTTGGTGAAAAGATAATTGATTTGGGAACAATTAAGTGCGTTACTATTTGAGGATTGCTCAGTTTTATAAGTGGTGTCATGTTTTCATGATCTGGTTCTTTGGAAAACTAGTATAGCATTTCATTGTAATTTTATCTTAAATGGCAGTAATTTTCTCTTTATATAGAAAAACAAGATTTTTATCAATAAAATAATAGTTTATAACTAATTCTTTATCATTGTCGTAAAAATTGTTATATAGAAATCCAAGTGGTGGTATGCCATAAGTTATTTGCATTTAATATAGTATTGTGCAGTTTCTTTTTTTGTTGTTGTTTTTGGAGACATTTGTCTGTCACCCAGGCTGTAGTGCAATGATGTGATCTTGGCTCACTGCAACCCCCACCTCCCAGATTCAAGGGATTCTCCTGCCTCAGCCTTCTGAGCAGCTGGGATTACAGGCGCATGCCACCATGCCTGGCTAATTTTTGTATTTTTTTTTTTTTTTTTTTTTAGTTAAAAAATTTTATTTATTAAAAAAATGACGAGGTTTCACCATGTTGGCCAGGATGGTCTCGATCTCTTGACCTCGTGATCCACCCGCCTCAGCCTCCCAAGGTGCTGGGATTATAGGCGTGAGCCACTTTGCCCAGCCAGATTTTCGTGTTTTTATCCAAACATAAGTTAATTTGAACTGTCAAGTCATAAGATCTAAATTAAACGAATATATTTAGTTAATAACATGTGTAAGTATTTAAAGCTACAGAAAAGTAAAAATCCAGACGTTATAGTATTGTTCCACCAAAAGTAATCCATAATCATGGGCTTCGTAAACTGTTTTTCTTGTGGTCTAGAAATAACATTAACGAAAGCAAAATTAGGCTGGGCGTGGTGGCTCAAACATGTAATCCCAGCACTTTGGGAGGTCCAGGCTAGTGAATCACTTGAGGTCAGGAGTTTGAGGCCAGCCTGGCCAACATGGCAAAACCCCATCTCTTTTAAAATACAAAAATTAGGCCGGGCACTGTGGCTCACACCTGTAATCCCAGCACTTTGGGAGGCCGACGCGGGTGGATTGTGAGGTCAAGAGATCGAGACCATCCTGGTCAACATGGTGAAACCCCGTCTCTACTAAAAATACAAAA